CGCTACACCCTTCAAACGGCTATACACTGCAAGAAGCACACTTTTTTCGGGCCACGCATATACAGACATAACAGCTTCAACACGTTCGACAAATTGCGTAGCCGTAATAGAATCTTCATTCGTTGGGTCGAATTCGGGTAGGACTTCTGCGATTTCTCGTATAGAATGCGCGTTACGGTCCTTGCTAGGCATTTCTGAAGTACTGTTTTGATTGTTTCTACCGTTATTCTGGTTAATGGCCACTTGTTGCACCATTTGCCGCAGTTCGCTAATTTGTTTTCTCAATTCTTCGTTTTCACCCCGCAATTCATCATTATCGTTCGTAAATTGTAAAACTACGCCGCTTGCCTTCACGTGTTCAGTTAATCTTGCAACTAATTCTGCCTTATTACCTGTAGTTGATAACTCTTGCTGTTGTAAGAAGTCCTTCAACTGTTCCTTCGTCAGTGTCTCGATGGTCACCATCATTACGTATATATCTGCGTTCGTTTGTTTTTTAATTTTCTGCGCCAAATATTACTTACGTTTTAATTACTCCCCTTTTGGACATTGATTCAATCCCACTTCTGAACTTTAAACTTTGGTTTTTATTTAAAACAATATATTTCTTATATACATATTTAAACTTTGGTTTTTATTTAAAACAATATATTTCTTATACACATAGTTAAAGCAATATATTTATACACATAGTTAAAACAATATCTTTATCCACGACGCTACCCATCGAACTTCCGTTATTCTACTTCACTCGATTGTGTCCTTTTCTGTCAAACATAGGTTAGGTGACCACATGTTGTTAAAACTTTTAAGGTGCCCAGTTGTACGTTTCGGATGTAGGTTAACATATATAATATACATAAAGAGAGAGAAAATTGTGGTTAAGGTATTATGTTGATTAGCTAGCGTCCTAATTGTTGTTGCTGCTGATAATGTTGCTGGCACAGTTACGTTGTGCATAAAATCTCCTGCTTAGATGTTTTAACAATAACTAAACAAGTGATTTAACTATTTCTTTTATTAAATGGGTTTTTCTTTTTTTAGTTATTTTGTATTCCAGTTAGTTAATTTCTTCCTTTTTAGGCTTTAGTTGTTTAGTTTTGTGCATTTATTTTCAATTTTTTTTAGCGCACTAGTTTAGTTTAATTGAAGTCCACTTTAAGTTGTAGTTCACTTGACATCTTTCACGTAAATTTGGTATGCGGCAAGAAACCAAACTTTCACTTAACGACTTAAACTCAGTCACGGGTTTTACACGTTCCATTCTAAATCACCAGTCAAAGAAGAGAGAAGTTCCTCCGACTGCTCCTTTTTACTAAATTTTTATAACTGATTGAATCAGTCTTTTCAGTTAGCTGTTTTGCGGTCAATGAACTCAATCTTTCCCCTTGCCAGATGTTCGGATGTTTTGTTTCCAGACTTCTGGAAGCCTTCAATTATTTTGCTATTGATTCTTCTTTTCCTTCACCTTGCAATGTTTAAGCTGCACTCTCAGCTTTCCCTAATTCCCGCTGCAAATTTTGGCGATCAAAACGAAAATGTAAAAAACAAATTAAAATGACATTTCTCTCGTTGCTATATTTGTTTTGATTTTTATAAATGTGTTTGGGTGCTAGTGTTTTTTTTTTTAATTTTAATTATTAAAATTTATTTAAAATAAAGTTGGGCGGATAAACAGAGAAGGTATGTTAATATTACTATTCTATTTATACAGATTTCCTTATTTTATATAAATATATTTTCCTAATAATTGCAGTTTACTTCCAGCATCTTATTCAACAACAGAACTCCACTGAAATTATTACTGTGGACCAGCCATGAAAATTCAAGGTAATATCCATGAAATATTTGTCATTCAGTAATTTTAATTACTTGCTTATCCTAGGTCCTCTTCGCTGTAAAATCAATTTTATTTCTGCTGCAAAAATTGATCATTACACTACTTACAACAGCCTGAGAAACATTCAGTAAACAGCTTTGACTTACAGAACGCTGATCACATCCTATAAATTGAAACAGTGAACTCATTTTTTGCAATTATTGAATATAAACTTACCTTGACCAAATTCCCAGCCTTCATTTGGGCAAGGAGGAGGTCACTGAGAGGAGGGCTGCTCTCTCCTTCTGATATTAGGAGGTCCTCAACGGACGACATTCTGGCTTTCATTTGAAAAGCGGAACGTCTTCTGTTCGGTTAGGGTCAGTTGCAGCACAAAAGATCAATCTGGTCGCAGTGCTCTGCTGCATTGGGAGCTTGTACCCCGTTTATTTCAATTTCTATTCCTATTCTACCTTGATCAAAAAAGTGCAAAGCAATAAGTACGAGTATGTCTCTCGAAACTCTATTTGATCGACTTCTGTTTGATACCATGTGTGGAGTTCTTCATTAGTTTTTTCATAAAAAGCTTACATAAATATTTTAAAAGACGGTTTGCATAATTTCGCAAACATTTTCTTTTGCAGCATAAATGATTCCGTGAATATCTCAAGCACCAGAAAAAAATGGTTACCACTTTTTTGATTTACTACTTATAATTCCAACAGCTGTACAATTTTTGCTTTTATTTTGATATTTCAATGCATTTCAACATTATCCACATCGCCGAATACATTTAGCGAAGAGATTGTTTTGGCAGAATTGCACTATTGCTAATTCTCCTAAAATAAACAACTTGCTTATTTAAGAATTTTAGCGAAGAGACTGGAATTTTAACGATAGCGATTAGTGGAATCGGCCTTCTGGATGATTACAACATGTCACATGTGATAATATAGTGCGAAATTCTTCACAATTTTTTGAACATATCTAAACAACGTTATAATTAGGATTTGTTATTACTAATAAAATTCAAATTCAAATTATTTGTACCTATTGGGCCTATTTATACTATCACGAACGTGAGATGAAATTGACCACAACTTGAATTGTCAGTTCAGTTTACACTATTATGAACTCTCATGAGCGTAAAATTTTTTTGTTTTGTGTAAACGTATAAAATACATGTATGTAGAGGTGCAAAGCACAGAAATTGAGAGTATTCAGCATTAAAAGGTAAACATAAACATAAACATAAACATAACATAACATAGCATACGTATGCGTGTCAAGTTAAAATCTTATTGCGTGAATTTCAGGAACTCACATCACACTCTCTTCCCTATCTCATATATCGGAAACCGGTTTTCAAGTTCATGTTCATGTTACGTTCACGACAGAGTAAATAGGCCTATTGACAGTTAACAGCTGACAATTCAAACCTTAAACTCCTTGTTAGATGGTTACGCAATGCTTAAAGGTGACGTTTTTTTACAAAAAGTGATTTAAAATTACATTTATTAAACTAAAAGTGCATTAAAGCAAAATTCAATTTAGGGTGTTTACGCGATCTTAAAATCGATTTTAAGAGCCTTAAAACAAAAAAACTTTTAAGGCTCGCTTAAACGTAGTGAGTGTAAATGCAGTAGAAAAAAGTATCAATTCCATTTTTTGTAAATTTCACAGAATAATTTAATACTATATTCAGACAGTTAAATTTCCTTAGTTTCATAAAAATTAAATTAAATTAATATCGAAAGTGTGCATACGGCTCCAAATTAAGGAAATCATATATTTTTGGTTTACAATTCGAATATTAAAAATCACATACTCCAAACACCATTTGTATCTGGGAAATTTTAAAAATTGATTAATATAACTATAAAGGATAGCATTCAGTAGTTATTAGCTTTAGTGGATTTCGGTTATGTAAATTATTATTTTTCACTTTATTTTAAATTAATAACAATTACAGTTCTTTCTTTATACTCAAATTTAAAAATTTGCACTACTTTCAAAATATTCTCCCGGTTTTATTAAAGTCAACTGTCATTTAAAAAATGTCTCTTATCGTTATCTCAACTTTATTTTGTGCTTAAAATTTGTCTTACGCATTGTTGCATTAGAAATATACTTAAATTCAGCCTTCGTTTCAATGAAATTAGGGCCATTAAGGTGTGTCAGAACATGTAGTTTAAGAACTTTATAAAATAGTTAGCCGTATTAAACAGTATATATATGTATAAGAATTATACTGTTTATGGTTTTAAATATTTGGATATTTAAATAACAGTATTATAGCATTGAGAGACGGGAGCTAAATTATCATTAAGGGGCTAAATTATAATTTATTTGCTAATTTAGCAGTTTTATATGATCATTTATGGTCGTTAATTGACCGAATTTAACCCAATTTATTTATAATAATTTAGGTTTTTAGATATGGTAATGCTGCATATGCAAGCGAAACGAAATAAAAATTTAACAAATTTCAAGCAATTTGGTTGTCAAAATGTAAACAAAACATATTTGAAAACATTGGTAAATGTAAATATTCGGAATATTTTTATATATTTTATATTTTTTTATATATATTATATTTAATTAAAGCAAGTTTCTTTAATTTTTCTTGCTTAATCATTTTGAATTTAAAATTCTTTCTTTTGCTTTTTTAATAACAAAAAACATATGATACAGCAACTTCTTAATGATAATTTATACCGTCTGTCAGTGTATTTTTAAAATGATCATTTAAGGTTACTTAATGATAATTTAGTGCGCTCGTCTGTCAATGCTATTACGTTACAAACAAACAATTTCAGTCCATTTATAACCTAAAACACATTTATTAACTAATTTTGTGATTTTGGGAGTTTCAGCTTTCGGTTTTTGATTATAATAAAAAAGAGTTGAAAACTCATGACAATACCTTGTTAACTACAAAACAAAAAAATTATCCTTATGTATCAAAAAATCAGTTTAATGCTCATATAATAGGCGAAAATCGTACGTTTTTCACAGGATCATAAAAATTTTACCAAAGATTAGTTATTTTAGACACTTAGTTATTATAAACTTTTTACTAGGAACTACGGCCCTCTCAATAAAAGGGTGGAGTTTTGGTTAGGCATGGATATGGGGTTTAAATATATTAATTTTATACCTGGCAGTGCCACAACAAATGCTTAATTCCAGTTCAGTATTTTTTTGCTGCATTAAATTAGCTTTCGTTGAAAACTTATTACTGGATTAATATGTAAAACATATAGAACACTTTTACAATCATCTTGAGTTTTCAATTTGTTGCCATAAGACATATGTGTCGTATAAAACAATTTATTATGCATGTGAGTGTTAGCTTATTATAGGTAAACTTGATAGAATAACAAAAAAGATTAGTTTTGGGATTTTGATAAGCATTAAAATTTTTAGCAACAAATTTTTAGTTAATGTCCAGTGTATAAAATGTGTTATTACTTTTAAATGTATTCAATACATAATACGACAAATCGATCTACATAACAATGGGGCGGGTAATTGAGCGTAGTGGTTGTATCTACTTGTCGCATTTGCGTGTTAATAAAAAAAAATATTGATAAAATATTAATATTCCATAAACATTATATTACTAAACGATTGAAATGAGTAGTGCACATTAAATTCAAACGTTAATGCTATTGTTAAAACCATAGATTTAGATAATTAAATTTAAAACTGATTTCTGTCAACATGTCTATTTTATTTGAAATTTAACATTTTTTATAAATTCAAAAAATAATTTTTACATCCCAAATAAAAATGTTGTAAATGCTGTAATATAATAAAAGAATCAAAGAAATGTATAAAATAATTTTTATATTAAGTTTTGCATAAACTGCTTTTAGCTATGTTATGGATTTGTCTGTAAAATATAAAGAGTTTAATATCACGCACCCACAGTGTTGAACCAGTCTATTACTTCAGCCTTTTCAAATATATGCGACGGCTTTATTATGGTTGCTCCAACGCAACATGAGTTAGTTAACATAAATAATAGTGAATTTAATACAGCAGCATCACTTAGCGATGACTCCGGTGTTCCTTTAACAACAAATAACTCAATTTCAAGTGGAGGCTCTTATAGACTAAGCACTAAATTAGAAATAGAGGTAATTTAGATCAAAACTTTATATTTTTAAGTATTTCATTTCACATTTTTAAAGGTAGTTGAAAGTGACGGAGAAGTTTCGCAATTTGATTCATTGGACAATTGTTCGGAAAGTGGAATGAGCGCAGAAAACTTTAACACATTAAAAAAAGGTCCACTAGCACCAATTGATCCACCACCTGAGTTTCAGGACTCACCACAAACGACACTTATGCGCTCTGTTGCTTCGAATTTAAATTATCTTCGTAGATGGTCTTCCCATTCGTCCTTTAAACATATGGGAAATCATGAAGATGATCAAATTTCAAAAATATTCGCTGGTACGATTGCAGATAATTTTATAGCTATTGAAAACGATATGTTCAAATTAGCCCGCGAAAACAGTATTAACGATTCGTATGCAAGAAATAAACATATATATTCCAGTGATTCAGTTATTAATAACTTGACAGATAATTTATACGACGAACCAAATGATGTTATAACCTCTTTGTTAGGAAACAGTACTGATTCTTCGTCTTTATTTCCAACTCCAACATTATCTCGTGTTAAAATAATTCAAACATCATGCCCTCATTACCAGGACCACACTAAATATTTTAAGGTTATCCCATCAAAACAAGATAATACTAGAACTGACCAAAAATTTAATGTTTCGCAATTATCAGAAATCAATGACTTCGATCTTTATTATGGCATCAAGCGAAATATGTACCAACATTGTGAAAATACCCTTCAACGTAAAATTATATGTAGTCCATTAAATTATTCATATTGTCACAATTCTCATCATACAGGTAATCACTACTTAATATTGTAATTCCCCATAAATATTAAAAAAAAAAATTTTCAGGTGTATGTACTGGTAATCGACCTAATTCACGAAATTCACTCAATAGTCGTCTGTCTAGCTCTCATAATTCTTTAAGTGCATCATCCGCAAATAAGCCAGATGACTCAATTTTTATAACACAGGCCATGTCACATGATGCATTGCTTTCGCGAGAAATAACTGACTTTTATAACGTTCCCATAGATTCGGATATCTATGCTCTGCCAGTGGATATGATTTATTCGGAAAATGAGCGTCGAATTCACAAAAATGGACACATTACTTTCAGTAATAAACATTCGAAAATACAACAAGACACAAATTCTGTTCAAGATTATATAAAATGCCACCAGTACAAATCAAATCGCAAAACGAATCGTAATAAAAGAAAAAAATGCTCTGAAATTAATAGTCAATCAATGAAAAATCATAACCACCACAAATTATATTCTAAAACAAAATATAGGGATTCAAACGAACACAATGACATAGAATGTGACATTCATAATAACAAGCAGAGTATCCAAGAACCACTTCATATGAGTCTTGATGAGGTAAAAAAATTTTATCATTCAATTTACTCTAATACAAAAATACCTCCTGTAACGCAAATCGACCAAAGCAAAAAAAACTTAATTACTGATTCTAAGGACACCATTTCAAGCTTATCTTCTATTCATTCTGGAAGTAATCTGAGTGCGACAAAGGAAAAAATTTGGTCCCGTACTAAACTTAGCATAGATGCAAACCAAAAACTATCATCTGAAAATGATAAAGTTAATAACAATGTAAATATAGGTAAAAATCAATATAATCAACAAAACATCCGCCCACAAAATTGTCATTTATTAAATTTTGACGACACCAACCAATTATCTGCACTTCAACTTTCGTCACAATATAATGTCAACAACAAACAAACGTTTCAACGGGAAAAAAAATCTCAATTTTCATCAAGTCTCAAACAAAAATTTTGCAGTATTTTTCGATTTAAAAAAAATTATAATCGATGTCGGACAAATAACTCGGTATCTGATGATAACAATAGGGAACAAAGTTGGGTAGGTGCTCTAACGGTGGAAGATAAGCGTAATAAATTTCAGTCAAGAGCTCTACCACCTTTACCAAAAAAAGGTATAAAAATATTTAAACTTCAGTTCCATATCTAATTCTTAAACTAAATAGCATCTGAAAATCTATCTGATTATGATAATAAAGAAAATATCAAACCTGATATAAGGACATTTCAATTTACGTCGAGTATCGAGAAAGTTAAAGACGTAAGACTTAAAGTTATAATATTTCAGTTTTAATGTTATTTTTTTTTTTTAGTATGGTTGGTATTGGGGTCCATTGTCTAGTGAAGCCGCCGAAAAAGTTTTATCTAATGAGTCGGATGGAAGTTTTATAGTACGTGATAGTTCGGATGATCACTATATATTTTCCTTAAGCTTCAAACTAAATAATTGTGTACGACATGTGCGGATTGAGCAAGATCAAGGTAAACTTCTCAATGTTTTTTGTTTTATTATCGAAAAAATTGTAAGTATACTACTTTATAGGTACTTTCTCATTTGGCTCCTATGCGAAATTTAAATCGCAAACAATAACTGAATTCATTGAAAAAGCAGTTGAACATTCAAGAAGTGGAAGGTTATTTGATTGTATTGCTATATAAAAAACGTATACTTATGAAATTTTTTTTAGGTACTTGTTCTTTTTGCACAGAAGACCAGAACATGGACCTATGCGTGTGCAATTAACAAATCCTGTTTCTAGATTTAAGCATGTGCAAAGTTTACAACACATGTGCAGGTAAGACTTTCTATAATGTTATACTTATTGTACATATATATAATATATCTTATACATTATTATTGCAGATTTGTTATTCTTAAAGCAGTAATACGAAAAGATTTAATACAAACATTGCCATTACCTAGGAGACTTTTAGACTATCTTAATTATAAGCATTGCTTTTCTGAACAAATTGAAATTGAAAGTTCGCACTGTCAGGTAATAAAGTGCAATTCACACTTAAAAAAGTTAATATATTTCTTTTAGAGTTCTGAAGATGGATTTGTGGAAGGTAATGTCGATTCTTAATTTAAAAATAAAAAAAAAAATTTTTATTGACGTAATATAATTTTAAAGAAAAACCATCTACATAATGTGAATTTTTATTAAATATTATTTATTTATATATTAATGAAATAAACAAATGTATTTGTACTTGGTGCTATACTATAATTTATATCACAACGTAATGTAAGTTTAAAAACATTTAATGTTATTAATATACTGAAACTAAAAAAATGCAATATCAAAACATTTTCTGCATAAACATATACATATATTGTTTAAAATAAAAAAAGAATAAAGAATACTTTATTTGCACTTCAAACAAAGTATATTTATTTTTATAAAAAAGTATTTATATAAAAAAAAACACCAAAATGGGATTCTATCTGCATTCAAAATTAATGTTTCAGCGTTGGTGTATTAGTGTTGGTATTAGATAGATTTCTAATAACCACCAGGGAAACAATGTATTGTTTTCTATTTACTTTCTTTTTTTTTTGTTATATTAATTTAATTATTGTATTTTATTATGTTAATTTATATGTTCAGTGGAGAACTATCAGTGAACTAAAATAAACTGTCCAATCATAGTGTACTGTTTTACGTTTTTGCTAAAAAACCACTAAATAGATTCCAAGGTTCCAAGAACGGCCGGGTCTACGTCCCGGAGCCACTCGTCAAAGACGACCAAGTGCCGTTCGACCACCCCCAAAGGGACTACACAAGCAGGTATGTGTTTGTTTGACATATGTCGTATATATGTGTTTTTCCTACTAAGAAGCAAGTTCCGGCCATCTTGCTTCTTATGCTACTTCTAATGGCCGGTATTGAATCTAATCCTGGTCCTGTCATACCAGCACTTTCAAAATGGCACTGCTCTGTCTGCAACAATATTACCAGCAGAAACCAAACATCTGTTACGTGCAACAGTTGCAATAACTGGTGCCACCTCCGAAACTGTTCAGGTCTGCATAGCCATACCGATTGGAACTCTGCCTTTAGAGGAGCTTGTTGTCCAACTTCTCCTCCAGTTAGAACATCTACATCTTCTTCAAACACTGTCAGTCCGTTTCCAATCAATGCCATCCAATCTCCCCCCATGGCATCCCCTTTGTCTACCAATTGGCTATGCACAGTTTGCAATCGAGCAATCTCTAGGAACACCATATCTGTACGTTGCAATTCCTGTAATGGATGGTGCCACCTTAGACCTTGCTCTGGATTACGCTCTCATCATGGTTGGAATTCAAATTTCATTGGCACTTGTTGCCAACCTCCACCTATAATTCCACCTCAAAACCGCTCACTCTCTCAACGCACAAGTGTTGTCTCAACAATTAACAGATCTTCTCCTCTTAAAATTCTACAGTTTAACTGCAATGGCCTTAGAGGAAAGATTTCTGAAATCGCAGCATTCATGACTTCAAATAACATCGCAGTTGCTGCACTGCAAGAGACAAAACTTCTGCCCAACTCCACCCTCTCGCCCCCATCAGGTTTCATCCTTATACGTAAGGACCGCCCTAGGGGAGCCGGAGGTGGAGTTGCCTTTATGTTGAGAGATTCATTATCACATAGTGAGCTAATGTTATCCTCGTCGAATGACGAATATTTAGAGGTAATAGGGTTGAAAATTTTCATTGGTAGGTCTTCTAAATTCATAGAAGTCATCAACATATACCTGCCACCCAACTCTAGCTGCCCACCGCAGCACTCCCCTAATATTTCTCATTTTTTCGAAGGGGACTCACGTTTTGTATTGGGTGATTTGAATGCTCATCATGATCTGTGGTTTTCTAACCTACCAGCCGATCAGAGGGGTTTACAATTGGCTGCCCAAATTGATGATTCTTCCTTTGGTGTACTAAACGAAGATTCACCAACAAGGGTAACGCCAACTTGCTCTAGCTCTCCTGATGTCAGCCTCGCCAGCCCTAGGCTGCTCGCTGCCTCGAATTGGAGTGCGGAAATAGCTTTAAGCTCAGACCACACTCCCATTATCATGTCAATACCATCGTTCGAGGTTCATTGCGAAGCTGACAAGAAAACCTTCAGAAATTTCAAAAAAGCGAACTGGGCCCTATTCAAAGATATTTCAGAACGCGACTTCGGTAATATTTCTCTGTCCTCTGATTCAAACAAGGCAGAGATACAATTCCGCAGCATTATTATCAAATCCGCTGCCACAGCCGTTCCTGCAGGTAGGATCAAAATAATAAGGCCAAATTTTCCTAGTGACGCTGTGCCCCTTGCCGAAGAACGCGATAATCTTCGTAGATTAGACCCAGCTAATCCACGCATAGCTATCCTGAACAGTAACATCCGTAAACTGGTAGACGAGCATCGCCTTAATAAATGGAAGGAACATTTAGATAACTGCGACTCCCAAAATGGTAAATTGTGGACTACCATTAAAGCACTATCTAATCCTTCTCGTCCTAATAATAAAGCGATAACTTTTAATGGGATCACCTTCCCAGATCCCAAGCATTGCGCACAACAATTTTGTCAGCTTTTCGTGCCCAATGCCTCTGTTTCCCATGCTATTCGCAGACAGACTCGCGCTTTTCGGAAACCACATTCCGGCGACACCACGCTGTTTTCCCGGATGATGTAAATAACGTGATCAGACACGTCAAAGCCTCGAAAGCGCTTGGGCCTGATGTCATTTCAATGCTCATGCTCAAGCACCTCGGGCCCATTGGTCTTTCAGTTCTGACACATATTTTGAACACCTCCATCTGTTCTCACATCATCCCTAATATATGGGAGACTGGTAGAATTATCCCATTGCTGAAGCCGGGCAAACCGGCTGGCCTAGGTGAATCATATAGACCAATCTCGCTCCTGTCTCCAGTAGCCAAAGTTCTGGAGTCGCTAGTCCTAAAACAGATTTCTCCCTATATTCACCTAGCTCCCCATCAGCATGGATTTAGAAAACGTCACAGTACCACCTCTGCTCTTTGTGAGATCACTTCTCAAATCGCCGATGGACTAAACCAAAGTCGCCCGTGCGAACGCACGGTGCTGTTAGGTCTAGATCTTGCAAAAGCATTTGACACAGTCTCCCATTCCACCTTGCTAAATGATCTGGCTGAAACATCTATCCCTGACATCATTAAACGATGGCTCTGCAATTACCTCATTGGCAGATCATCTTTTGTTGATTTTAGAGATAAGATGTCGAAAGCCAGAAAATTAAAACAAGTTGTGCCCCAAGGCAGCGTTCTTTCACCGATCCTTTTCAACCTATACATGTCTAAGCTCCCGGACCCTCCTGAGGGAGTCAGAGTCATAACGTATGCTGACGATTGCACAATCTTTGCGACAGGCCAGGACCCTTCTATATTGTGTAATAAATTAAATGCATACCTTCCTAATATAGCATCTTTCTTGGCTGATAGAAATCTTCACCTATCTCCAAGCAAATCTTCCGCTACCCTCTTTACTTCCTGGACTAAAGAGGTTTCTATGACTCTGCCCATTAATATCGGTGAATTCAGGATCCCTACAACCACCAAACCTAAAATCCTGGGTGTCGTTCTCGACAGTATGTTGACCTTTTCCACACATGCTTCATCCGTGTGCAGCCGATTGAAATCTCGCAATAATGTATTAAAAGCTCTCGCCGGGTGCTCTTGGGGTAAGGATAAAGAAACCCTGCTGAGCACATACAAAGCAATAGGTCGTCCTATTGCGGCCTATGCAGCTCCAGTATGGACCCCGCAACTCTGCGAGACGCAATGGAATAATATCCAAACCTGTCAAAACACAGCATTGCGAATTGCAATTGGCTGCCATCGTATGTCGCATGTCGACCATCTTCATGCGGAATCAAAGTTGCTACTTGTAAAAGAGCACAATCAACTGCTGTCCAAACAATTCTTACTCGCGTGCCATACAGATGGTCATCCTAATATCGACCAATATTGCAATGGAGCCTACATCAGTGAGGTCGAATACAAACGTGGACTTATAGCACTCCACACCGATGCAGTATCTTCTTCGAGACCGAGGTTGGCTCCCAACAAGGTCCTCAATAGGCCTCCGCCTAATATTTCTCAGGATGAACGTAATCTTCCTCGTACGGCAAGAACTGTCCTATCTCAATTGAGATCAGAATATAGCCATGTGCTTAACAGTTACTTGTCACATATTAACACGTCCATTCCTAATGTGTGCCCAAACTGCAGCTCCACGCCCCATGATGTCGCCCATCTGTTTTCTTGCCCCAACGCACGCACCAATTTAAGTCCAATTGACCTTTGGACTCGTCCCCTTGAAGTGGCTAGGTTTCTTCGACTGGATCCTGGTTAGTTTCAAATTACTCCCACCCCTCCCCTTTCCCTCATCCCAACACTCACTCCCACCTTTTCCATTCCTTACCCCATGTATTCGTCTTGTAATCCTTTCATGTTATCTGCTTTCAGGTCCCGGCGGGTTACAACAACAACAACAACAAATAGATTCCAAAACACATTCACATAATGTGTTTGTGCTCCATGAACACAAACTAAAATTGTAATCTGCTGTTTTCGACGTCTTATGTAAAATTTTTAATGATCTCGTTTGTATTTTTTTCATTAGGCAATTAATTTTGTAACGATCTTTTAACAAAGATAGTCAGCCCTATTCTGAATCGCATGGGAATGGGAGTTTGTTCCCTATTCCCAATATTGCTATTCTGAATAATATGGGAATGGGAGTTTTTTTTTCCAATTTTGCACAAATTCTTTCCCAAGCAAATTGTTTGGGAGACAAGTTAAAAAAGTATTCAAAATAGTTTAATTTAATATGAAAGTAACTAATAATGATCAAATTTTTGAATATATTTTAATAAAATTATTATTATAATAAATTCAATATTTTCAAAGTTTTATTTTTTTTATTTTATTCACAAGGGTTGATAAGTTTTTTGAATATATTTTAATAAAATTATTATAATAAATTTAATATATTTAAATTTTTATTTAATATATTTAAATAAAATTATTATTTTAATAAATGTATTATAACATATTTAATATATTTA